TTTTATTTTAAGAAATAAAAATATACATTTATTCTGATATTTTTCCAAACTCAGTAGTATTAATTTAACATGTTTGAGTTCACATTTTGTTTATTAGACGTTCTGAGATGTATTCAGTGATGTGACGACAGGGTTACTCCTGCCGCTGTTTCATTGGCTGCTACAGAGTGATGTCATTAGTGGAGCCAGGAGCCTAAACTGGGGAAGCGGCAGGACAGGGCCGCACCTGGAGATGAGGCGTGAGTGAAGACGCTGCACCAAACTCTGAAAAACTTTTCAAAAGGAACTTATTTGTCTTCATCTTCAGTTAAACGTGTCTTATAATGAGTCACTGCTTTAAAAAAAAAAGCAACATTACCTCACAAACATCTCATCACCAACAAGTGTGAATGAAAAGGAGAATGAAGTGTAAACTCGAAATATCTGCTCCTTTTTACACACACAAAAAAAAAAAAAAAAAAAAAAAAAACATTAACGGCCCCAATATATTGAATCATAACAGCCACATTTACAAACGACTCATTTAAGTGATTTAACAACATAAGTAGGCCTACTCATTGACACACTAATGAAGACAAAAGTACAGTTACTCTGGCATCTCGTCTTTTTGTTACATATTTGACATTTCTTTTAAACACTTGAATAGATTTTGAAGTTTTGATTTTTTTTCATCTAGACCAGGGGTGTTAAACTCATTTTGGTCCGGGGGCCGTATCCAACCTATTTTGATCCCAAAGGGGCCGGATCATAAAACTCAGGGCATATATATCCCAAAAATAGCAATAAGTTCAAAGATTTGTGCAGAGGAACGCAAATCTATTACAGAAATCTTTTTATAATTGATTAACTATTTCTCTCTAACAAAATATTATAATATTATGAACAACCTGAAACTTTAAGAAAAATACAATTTCAACAAAATGTTTTAACATGATCTTGTTTGCAAATAGGAATAAGTCAATTTTTCTTGTAAAATCCTGCACTCGGCTCCACTTTTCTCATTTTTGACATTTTTCTGATGAGGGTGTCACGGTCAACAGTCAAAACGATCGTCCTTTAAGAGCGTTTGGAAAGAGACAAGTCTTCATTTGTGCTGCTCTGGTGGGAGGGGCCACGTACAGAGACACTGCTATGATAAACATCGCAGAAAATTACCAATATTTTAATAGAAAATATAATTAAAATATTTTAGTAGAAAATCACCCGAGGGCCAGATTAAAGGTCTTGGAGGGCCGGATCTGGCCCCCGGGCCGTATGTTTGACACCTGTGATCTAGACTGTTCTATAGTCTGACACCCATGTTTCCATGCTGTTCTAAAGTTTTGTTATGTTTTTTTTTTTTTGAGATTTTATGATTGTAAACAGGGATGTGCAGAAATATTGAAAAAAATGATATATCGTTTAATGTGATGATACAGTATCGATATCGTGGGCTGCTGTATCAATATATCGCCAAGAGTACTTTTTGATATATTTTACTCAATTATTTTATTACAGCTACAGTTTTGTTGTTTGTTTAGTTGAAGGAAACTTGTTTTTGCGACGCATTTGACATGTTCACTCTTTTGATGATTAAAATGTTTGTTTCTCAAATTCACTTTGCATAAGAAGTGGTTTAACAAAGACTTTTAGTATCACAGACATGATTTAGCCATTGTTTTTTATTGAACCATATCGAACCGATTTGAAATATATTGTTTAGTATCGAGATATGTATCGTATATGTATCGAGATATGTATCGTGTCGGCAACTTCGGAATGATACCCGGCCCTAATCGTAAACCTTTTTGAAGATCCTTGGGCAAGATTTGCTGATTTTCTTTGTGCATATTGTAGTTTTTAAAATATTAAGTTCTATCAATCTGATGAATTTCAGTGTCTTTAATTGTAGATAGAAAACTTAACATTGTAGTGCAGTACTATTACTTTTGTACTTTACACCATTGTTTCCCAAAGACTGACCCTCGTGACCTTCAGGTGGGTCACAAGAGATTTTTAGGGGGGGTCGCCTTGTCACGATCTGCATGTCAGTCTGCAATATACAGTTTTACAGACTATTTTGTTCCAGTGTTGCTGCTTCAATTGAATGTTGAAAGGAAAAAGAAATGGGCTGCATTTAATGTCCAAATAGGCGACTTATGGATCCTTTTATTGCTGCTTCAATGTTTTTCATTGTTTAAAAAATTGTTCAGAGACACGATCACTCGGTTAACAATAAAATATCCTCATTAAAGTTCAATAATGATCAAATTCACGTTCATTTTGTGATTCATGAATAATGTTTATTGACTTGGTTCATGAAGGTTTGTGACTTTTAAAATAAGGGTTCCGAGTAAATAAATAAAAAATTGGGGAACACTGCTTAACACTACTTAAAGTTCCCAAATTATAGTGATGTGCAAATGAGTCGGAGCTCCGGAGCACGTCTCGTTCTTTCTGAAACAAATCGTTGTGAAGCACTGCCTCGGAGCTCGTCTCGCAGCAGCCGCTCATGTGACCAAAGTGCCGAAGTGTCGGTCCCTCCCCCTACTGCTTCACTCTGCGTGTCAGTCGCTTCACTGTATCGAAGCGTTTCATTGGCTCAGCGAATGTTCCGCTCTGTGATTGGTTCAGAGTGCTTCAGAGTGTTCAGCGCACTTCCGTGGTTTGACAAGCGCTAAACTCCTACAGTATAAAAGATGTGCCAATATTTCTTAAAAATGTTGGTAGTGAGGAGTATTGTGTGACGTTGTGGTGTGGTGATTTTGGTGACTTTTGGCGACTTTTGGCATTTGTTTCATTTTCGATGGCATCTACAAGTGGAGAAAAAGTGATCCATGGTTTGGGATCAATTTGGTCTAATTCCACCGAACAAGGTAACACCTATTTTCTTATTAACAGCTATTTATGTTGCTCTTTACATATTATTTTAAAGCATCATTATTATTGTTGTTGTTAGGTACGGTGTCGCTCTGCACACAAGTACTGTCTTACACCAGACATGCCCAAACTATGGCCCGTGGGCCAAATGCGGCCCTCAGACAAATTTTTCTTGGCCCTCAGGCTTCCAGGTGAATAAGCCCAAAATATGTTGCATCAATTAAAAATGAACTTTTTACTGCAAGTTTGTTGGAACATCTACCTTGATAAAGCTAATGTTTAATATTTAGTGTGTGGTTTTAAGGCTCTTAGCATAAATAAAGTCTGATGGCTCATTTTAATGTGTTAAACATGCACATATTTCAATTATTCACTGTACTGAGCATCAGTCTGCGGCCCTCGATCTGCCCTCTGCTTCATCTGTGTTTAGATATGTGGCTCTTGGTGAAAAAAGTTTGGACACCCCTGTCTTACACTAACAACACTTCATCGATGCTGAGACACCTGTGTGCCAATGGTTAAATTTGTCCACTAGAGGTCAGTGTTTCTCCGAGGCCTCAGACACATCGAACCATTTGAGACAATATTGCGACTGAGGTGTCAGTGCTTCACGAGGCTCCATTCGCCCATCACTACTGATTAGGCTATTTTTTTTGTTCCATGTTATAATGTTGTTTCTTCATTTTAAACAGACCTGGAGTTGTGTTTTGTTTCATTCACACATGTTTAACACACAAACCCTGCAGATTCAGGCCGAGTTTTTCTCTCAAACACACAAAAACACTCTTATTCTGCAGAGTTTCCACCGTACACACACATGCAGAACACTCCCCCGCATGATGTCACTCGTGTTTCTTCTCCTCTGGGGCCTGTAAGTGAGTATCATTATCAGTGTGTGTTATAGAGACGGACACGCTGGGGTAGAGGGCTCACTCCACTGTACCAAGTGCTGACGCTGCATTTCTCCAAAACCATTTAGTGTGAGCGCCGGGACGGGCTGCTTGACCTTGTCCCGTCCCATTAACGCGGGACGTGGGTGACTCTCCGGCGCCTCTAATGGATGAGGGGGGTCACTGCGGCTAATGGCACCGTAAGTTCACGTATGATCAACGGCCAAGCAAACTCAAGCGACAGAAAGGAACAGGACCTTTAATATGACTTGGAAAATAATAATAAAAGAAGAGTAAATTGTTAAATGATAAAAATTTGATTGATTCTGTTGGATAAATATTTGACTTCATTAAAAAGTATATGTATTAGAAGTTAAGTGGAGGAAAGTACAAAAGTAAAAATGCTAAAAAGTTGAAATATTACATGAAATTGACTTTTGTGAGATTTTAGTCATGTTATACAGTCCCTGACAAAAGTCTTGTCTCTTATCCATTTTGTAGAAACAAAAGCTTATAACCTGACTTTAAATTAATCGATTGGTTTTAGAAATGTCTCATATGAAAGCTAAAACCCTCCCAAATTATGCGCAATATACTAAAATACATTTGCTTCACTGAAGAAAGATTGATCATTTAATGAACACAGAAAGGTCAGATTTTGGCAAGACAAAAGATTTGTCGCCTACAGAAAACTGAACCAATAATTTAGTTCAAATACAAAAATATGTTGCATAACGTCTGTGAATTAAGTAGTTTTGCTGTGAGATCCATATTTAATATCTTGTATGACTTCCATGAGCTTGAAGGACTGCAGTAAAGCAACTTGAAACATCGGCTCAAGAGTCGAGGAAATGGGTGGAACGCTTCAGTGCTTCATGGAGCTTCATCTAGTGTTAATTGAAACTGTTTGCTATCTCTAAAGCTAGATCCTAAACACTAGTGGAGGCAGAATAGACATTATATTAAACAATAGTTCCTCTGATTGGAACTAGCCGGCTACCACTGTGCACAAAATGAAGGTGTTTTCTTATAACTCTCTTTGTGAAATAATCATCTCTGTGCACATTAGGGGAGTTCTGTCTGCTACGTAACAGTTAAGGAGGTCCCTCGTGTGATGTAAAGGAAGAAGGCGCTCAAGTTCTAACAGTTAAAAGTGACACTGTTCTACTCACAGATTCTCACTTGCGTAGACGATATATCACACATGTGTAATTGCTGTCACATTCCCCGCCCTTCGGTCCCGTGATTCTGTGGTGTGTCTGGTTTACTCGTGAAGTTACGCAGAGAAAAACAAAGGAATCAACACCTCGCCTCAGTCCCAGCGCAGACGTGGCTCACATAACACACTGCGGATACCAGATAAGACGAGATCACGACGTTGTCCCCTTATAACGATGGCGTGGTTTCCTGGTCTTGTGCTCCTGCTGTTCACGGTTCCTCTGACGGACTCCTCTCCTTCGTTCATCCCTCCGACCTGTTACTCCAAAGTCCTGAGTATGGCGCGGGAGGCTACGCAATGGGCCGCTTACTTCAAGAACCACTATGAGACAGTGAGTATACAGCAAGAATGGAGTTTGAAGTACAAGTGTTTGTATTGTTTCAATATAACAGTTACAGGGCCCGTGTTACGCATGTTAGAATGTTGTTACCTCCTCAAAAACAGACCTGGAGTTGTGTTTTTCATTCACACATGTTTGAGTAACCCATTATTATTATCAAATCCAATTCAAAGTTTTACATTGGGTGCATTTTTCTAAGTCAAGACTCTATGAAATGTACCCAGAAACTGAAGATAAATGTGATAAGTTGTTTTTTCTTTGCCCTAATCTTCATAGTTATTGGTCTAATTACTTTATCACTCTGTCAACTGTTCTTGGGGTAAACCTACAGTTATGTCCTCTCATTGCCATATTTGCAATTACTATTAGTGCTGTCATGCGATTAAAAATTGAGAGATTAATTAATTATGATCTGTAATTAATTTATCTAATTATCTCATTTTAATCTCACCTAAAAATTGCTGAGAAAAGCCTTCAATTTGTATTTTCATTTAAATTCATTATTACATTATTGTGGCAGATCAAAAGACTAATATAGATTAAAAAAAGTGACTTAAAAGTCATTTATTGTTTAACAAATCTCTCCAAACTGGCTGTTGAGCCCAAGTCTCATGAATAAGAAACTGTTTGCTGTAAAGTAGCAAAGACGAGGAAATCTGTCGACTTAAAGACAAAGTGTCTTTCCTTAACATATTAAAATATTATTGATAGAGAAATGCTTTATATATGAGATCACCTGGTTTACTGTTTAGTCCTGGTTTAGACCTTTTAGACCTACTTTAGTCCTAGTTTAGTCCTGGAATGGAATCTGGTTTTAGTCTGTGTTAGTTCAGTCTGGTGTTAGTTTCTGGTTTAGTGTTTAGTCCTTTAGTCCTGGTTTTAGTTCTGGTTTAGTCCTGGTTTTGGTTTAGTCCTGTTTTAGTCCTGGTTTAGTCTGTTTTTAGGTCAGTTCTGGTTTTTTTCTGGTTAGACCTGGTTTAGTCTGGACTGATAAGTCTGGTTTTAGTCTTGGTGTTAGTTCTGATAGAGGCGCACAGGAGGAAGCGCGGTTTACGTACGCGAGAAAACACGATCCACACGCGGCTCACGGGAGCAGTCTGTGTCCGCGAGTAACTACGGAAGGAAACGTGGTCCGCGCTTTCTCAGGTTAATGACGATGATAATGTGTGTGTGTGTGTTTGTGTGTGTTTTGTGTGTGTGTGTGTTTGTGTGTGTTTGTGTGTTTGTGTGTGTGTTGTCTGTGTGTGTGTGTTTGTGTGTGTGTGTGTTTGTGTGTGTTTGTGTGTGTTGTGTGTGTTTTGTGCGTGTTCATTGGCAGGTCACTATAGGACAGTAGTGCAGACATCATGAGCCTATAGGTTGTTTTCACCAGTGACATTTAGTTGTAGGCGATATTATATTTGTTATTTTCTTTTATATTTCACGTCGGGAGAAGAATTTCCAAGACACGAATGTGTTTTACCTGTTCACTGCTGCTCTGTTTACTGCTCTGTTCTGACTCGGTAAACGTCGCTCTTACGTGTTTTGTGTGGGTTTTGGAATTGCATGTGTTTTTTGTGTGTGTTGTTGTCCCAGCAACACATAAAAACAGATTTTTATAATAAAGTCACATACAGAACACTAAGTTAGAGATTAAAAATGAGATTAACGCGATTAAAAAACATAACGCGCTAAATATGACTGTAATTAATTAATCGCAATTAACGTGATAATTTGACACCCCTAATTACTATATTACTGCGTTTACTTCTCTAATTGCGAGATGTATAATTTCTATTACATTGGAAATCTGACAAATATCCCTCTATTTCACTATTGCTCAAAGATATGGTGGTATTTCTAAAACTTGAAAAGATTAAATATATGTTAAGGGAATGTACAGATAGACATGTCTAAAACCAGGACTAAAACCAGGTCTAAACCAGGTCTATAACCAGGACTAAAACAGGACTAAAACAGACTAAAAGCAGTTCTAAACTAGATCTAAACTAGATCTAAACCAGCTCTAAACCAGGTCTAAAACAGGTCTAAAACAACGACTAAACCAGGACTAAACCAGGACTAAAACAGGATTAAAACAGGACTAAAACAGGACTAAAACAGGACTAAAAGCAGGTCTAAACTAGATCTAAACTAGATCTAAACCAAGTCTTAACCAGGACTAAACCAGGACTAAAACAGGACTAAAACAGGACTGAAACAGGATTTAACAGGACTGAAACAGGACTATTCCAGGACTAAAACAGGACTAAACGTAGGACTAAACCAGGACTAAAACAGGACTAAAAGTAGGACTAAAACAGGACTAAACCAGGACTAAAACAGGTCTAAAACAAGACTAAAACAGGATTTAACAGGACTAAACCATGCTGGTCGGACGTGTCTCCTCTTCTATCAATAATATTTTTAATACGGTTAAGGAAAGTCTGGGCTTTTTATTTATTTTTTTAGCAGACAAAAGATCTTATGTTACGATATCCTCGTCTTTGCTTCTCTACAACAAATCAAGTAATCTAAAGTATTCAGATTACGTTACTCACTTTAAGTAATTTAAATGGATTACGTTACAGACTACATTTTGGGATATGTAATCTGTAATCTGTAGGGGAATACATTTTAAAAGTCACCTTCCCAACACTGCAGATAGATGTTTCAAGGTATGGCAATGCTTTATTTCTTATTTTTCTAATTTGCAGGTGTTGCCAAGTTGAATGTGCCAGTACCTACCTGTTGTGATTTCTGTCATATATTTAATATTTCACTGGTGGTGCTATATAGGTGGTTTAAATGACAAGCTGAGATGGGTTGGGATGGGGACGTTCTTTATAAAATAATTTCTTTCCTATTTTTATTTTTTGTACACGTATACTGTAGATCAGAGGTGTCAAACTCAAATTCACAGAGGCTGAAATTAAAAACTGGAACTAAGTCACTGGCCAAACTAAATATTTATTGAAAAGTTTCAACATCTGCATGTTTTCTGTTCTTTCAGAATATGTAATGTTAAACCTTTTCTTATTAAAATACATTTTTAATAATAGTTTTGCTTAAACATTGAATCCAGAACAAGCTAAATATAAAATAATAACATTTTAAACTAGAAAAGCACTCAGAGAGCGCAGACCTCCGCCAAGGACTACCTCCATTTTTTATATAAATTGCGATAAAATCAGTCTTCTGGATCAGATCCGGATCAGCCTTTGGAATATGAAAGAGGATCCCATTGTCCATCCCTGAGTCAAATTTCATGGGGTTTGGTCAATAATTAACCGAGATATTGAGAAACAAAATTTTTGGCCCCATTTACCACAATGTTAACTAAAATTTCAAGTGATCCAGAATCCAGGATTTCTTCCGGATCACCCCCAAAATGAAATCAGTTCTTCCTTTTCACATTTCCAACAAATCCTGAAAATTTCATCAAAATCGGTCCATAACTTTTTGAGTTATGTTGCTAACAGACAAACAAACAAACAAACAAACAAACAGACAAACGCCGGCAAAAACATAACCTCCTTGGCGGAGGTAATAAACCATGTCTCTACATTCTTTCTGTAGCCAGTGGGCCAGCGCTAGTACATATTTGATATGATCTCTGGGCCTGAGTCTGACAAGTCTGTTGATGCTTGTATTTTGTGCAGTTTTATCACACTGTGTGCGCATGCAACTGAAGAAACTTAATGTTATATTTTAGTGGATAGTTTCTGTTAGTGTTCCTAATAAAAAGTGAAATGGGTAGTTTTCAAGTTAACAGATACTTCTTAGGTCAGTAGAGATTGGCAATTCCAGGACTGAAGTTATCCAAATGATTCTAGTGAAGGTGTATGGAGCTTAAAAACACAGCGAAACACTAACAGTATCACCACATGACATCACAAGTTGGGACAGAGTGTTTTCTGTTTGAGAGAAGAACTCAAACAGAAATATGCAGGTATTGGTGAGTCAAACGTGTGAATAAAACAAGACACAATACAACTCGTGGTATATTTTTGAGGAAGTAACAAGGTTGTAAAAGATCAGATGTTCTAAAAATGACAAATTTCATCTTTATTATATTATACATTTGCACTTGAATAATAATTGAACATTTTAGAAGACATAACTAAGTTGCAAAGTTCAATAAAAATACTTGTATAATAATATGACAGTTTATTTTGTTTGTTTGTTTGTCTTATATCCTGTGTTTTTCCTGCAGAGTCAGTGTATGGCTCACATGCCTGACCTGCGCCTCGATGTTCACGTGAGTATGAGACTTATTACTGAAGTCGTGAACGTGCAGACATGTCTTATTATATTATACAGTATTGTTTGTATGGTTTGTAAAGCACTTCGGGTGTCTTGAAAAGCGCTATATAAATACAAGGATTGATTCACTAAATAAGTTTGCAATGGAGTAGTACAGTACAGCACAGTGAAAAGCGCAGCCCCTCCCAGTGTGAAAATTGTTGTTGTTTCTCTGGATGACTACAATCACTTCCTCCACAAACCAAAGACACGCGTGCAATGGAGGCTTTCGGCCATTTTAAATTGGCCCTAGAAAAGAAACGGAATGACAGATGCTTTGACCACACGGGCCTAACTAACCCTCTTCTGAGATAAATAAAGGATGAGTGTGATTTCAATGATCCAGAGAATGTGTGTGTGTGTGTGTGTGCATATGTAGATCCTTGATGGTGGGTGGGCGGGTCTAAAGAGTGTATATGCTTATGTGTATGGTGAATAGTTTGGTTTGATATTAATAAATGATCGCTAAACATAGAAAAAACTAAATTTATGATATTTGCAAAGCGAAAAGTACAAAATCATGTACAAATTATGCTCAATAATACACCACTAGAAAGAGTCTTTCAAAATAAATTTTTTAGGAATAACCATAGATCATAATTTAAACTGGAAATCACACATAAATACAATTAGGAACAAACTATCCAAAGTGATCGCAATTATATATAAATATAGATATACCCTAGATAAAAACAGTCTTTTTATTATATATAACTCGCTGGTAATGCCCTACATAACCTACGGTATTGAGATTTGGGGCAATACATATAAGACGAATACAAAGCCAGTCTTCACCCTACAAAAAAAGGCAATAAGAGCGTCACATTATCAACTTATAACGAACCAACCAATGCATTATTTATAAACCTTCAAACGCTGAAATGTTATGATTTAGTCGACCTTTATACTCTGAAAATCATGTTCAAAGTAAACAACAATCTCCTGTCGAAATCGTTACAGAACATGTTCAAAATCCGAAAGAGCCGATATGAGCTCAGAGGCACGACCATGTTTATTAAAAAGAAAATCAGAACAAACATTATGAAATTTTGTAAATCTGTTAAAGGGTGGAGCTGTGGAACAACTGTACAGAAAACCTAAAATTGTGCACCACTTTCTTTCACTTCATAAAGAAGTTTAAATGTTTAACTCTGGACAGAGACATGAAATATGAGACTTAGTTTGTGCTGTAGAACTTTGTTGTTCTGTTACTGATTAGCTTGTTTCTTCCTGCTGTATTTATGAAGATGAACTGGTGTCAAGATGAAGCTCTGACAAAGGAATAAAGGGTAAAGGGCATAATAAGCTTAAGCTTCAGCCTGCACCTTTTCAGTCTGTATATGTTAAATATGACTGTTTATGAATTAATGTCAAAATATACCTGTGACCAAAATAAATAATAAATAATAAATAAATAAATAAATAAATAAATAAATAAATAAATAAATAAATAAATAAATAGTATTTGAAGAATGTGACCCTCATTTGTTTAATTTATTTGTGGTCAGTTTATGTATAAGCACTGAATTCATATTTTCAGTATTTCCACCAACCTGCATCAGCAAGAATTCAAAGAGAAAGTTTGGTGAATTTCATCAAGGGGAAAGACGTTATTGCCCTGCTTCCTGCGGGATTTGGGAAAAGCTTAATATACCATTTAGCCCAATTAGCAGCACGTTACATACGTCACAACCAAATTGCAGCGATTGGTTAAATAAGAAAAGTACCGCCTAGTGTTGAACAGCAGCGAACAAAACCTAACACTGCAAGGTCAGACGGTTTCCAAGAAGTGAAACGAGGTGAAACCGGCTGATGAATCAGGCTAGTATTCTTGTGCACCGTCCCATACAAATAAAAGCATACCACTATACTGTAAGGACTATTCCTGTCGTCCCGTCACATGTAAATTGTTGAAAGTTTTCAGCTCGTCCAAGAACGGGTGGAAGTAAAAGGCTGGAGACCAACTGGACGTCTTTAGCAGGAGAAGTTTATTTTCCATCAATAATACGAGCCCAGGGGATGTGAAAAGTCAACAAAGTATGATTTCAAAAGTGAACATGGTGAGATCTTTGAGTGTTCAAGGCCCTTGACGC